TTTTTTTTTTTTTTTTTTTGAGGAAGATTAGCCCTGAGCTAACATCTGCTGCCAATCCTCCTCTTTTTGCTGAGGAAGACTGGCCCTGAGCTAACATCCATGCCCATCTTCCTCTACTTTCTATATGGGACGCCTACCACAGCATGATGTGCCAAGTGATGCCATGTCCTCACCTGGGATCCGAACCAGCAAACCCTGGGCCGCCGAAGTGGAACATGTGAACTTAACCACTGCACCACTGGGCCGGCCCCACCTCACATCTTTTTTTAAGCAGCTTTATTGAGATGTAATTACATACTGCAAAATCCACCCATTTTAAGTGGGCAATGTAATGATTTTTAGTAAACCTGCTGAGTTGTGCAGCCTTTAACACATCGAAGCTTAGAATATTTGAGTCACCGCAAAAAGATCCTCATGCCCTTTGCAGTAAATCTCACCACCAGTCCTAAGCAACCACTAATTTTCTTTTTGTTTCTGTAGATCTGTGTTTTTCTGGACATTGCAGATATATGGAATCATACAAAATGTGGTCTTTTGCATCTGACTTTGCTCACTTTTGTTTTGGAAGTTCATCCGTGTTGTATCGTGCATCAGTTCTTTGTTCCTTTTTGTGGCTGAATAGTATTCCATTGTATGATACACCACATTTTATTATGCATTTACCAGTTGATGGATGTTTGGATTGTTTCCACTTTTGGCACTTATGAATAATGCTGCTATCAACGTTCATGTACAAATCTTTGTGTGGATCTATGTTTAATTTCTTTTGAGTAGATAAGTGTGGAATTACTGAATCCTATGGTAAATTTATATTTAAGAAACTGCCAAACTATTTTACAAAGTGGCTGCACCATTTTACATTTCTACAAGGAATAAGGATTCTAGTTTCTCTGTGTTCTTGCCAATACTTCCTACTGTTTGTCCTTTTCATTGTAGCCCTTCTATTGGGTGTGAAATGGTATCTCATTGTGGCTTTGATTTGTGTTTCCCAAATGACTAATGATGTTAAGTATCTCCATTTGCTTGGTTATTTGGTGAAATAGCTATTAAAATATTTTGCCTAATTTTCGTTGGTTTGTTTTCTTATCATAGGATTATAAGAGTTCTTTCTACGTTCTGGGTACAAGTCCTTTAGTTGAAGTATGATTTGCAAATATTCTCTCTCAGTCTGTGGCTTGTCTTTTCATTTTCTTAGTGGTGTCTTTAAGAATGGAAGTTGTTATTTTTAGTGAAGTGCAATTTATCAATGTTTTATTTTATGGTTTGTGCTTTTGATAATGTATTTAAGAACTCTGCCTAACCAGGAGTCACAAGGATTTTCTCCTGTAATTTCTTCTAAAAGTTTTATAGTTTTAGCTCTTACATTTAGGTCTATGATACATTTTGAATTAACTTTTGTGAAGGACATGAGGTAAGAATCTAAATTCATCTTTTTTCATGTAGATGTCCAGTTGTTCTAGCACCATTTGTTAAAAAATGATTCCTTCTCTATGGAATTGCCTTGGTGCCTTTAGCTGAAGTCAATTCACCCTGAACGTAGGGAATTATTTCCGGATTCTCTATCCTATTCCATTAATCTATATGTCTGTTCTTATGTCAGTACCACACTCTTGAATACTGTAGTTTGTAGTAAATCTTGAAATCAAGAAATGCAAGTCCTCCAAATTTCTTTGTTTTCAAGATTGTTTTGGCCATTCTGGGTCCCTTGCACTTTTGTATGAATTTTAGGATCAGCTTGACAATTTCTTCAAAATAGCTTGCTAGCATTTTGATAGTTATAGCATTGACTCTATAGATCAATTTGGGGAGAATTGCCATTTTAAAAATATTGAATCTTTCAATCTGTGTTCCCTCAGAAGTGTTTTGGTTTTAGTGTACAAGTCTTGAACTTTTATTACATTTATTTCTAAGTATTCTTTTTGATGTTATTATGAGTGGGATTGTTTTCTTAATTTTATTTTGAGGATTGGTCATTGCTAGTATTCAGACATAAAATTGGTTTTTGTGTATGGATCCTGTGACATTGATGAACCCATTTATTAGTTCTAGTATTTGTGTGTGTGTGTGTTTGTGTATTCTTTAGGAGTTTCTACATAGAGCGTGTTTCTACCTAAGAGGATATTTCTGCATAGAGGACTTTACCAATACTCCACCTCCTTTTACCTCTGCTCATTTGGTTGTATTTACCCTTAAAACCCTCTTCATACCTCTTGCAGGTTGGTAAGCACCAGTCCCTCAGTTCCTCTGATACTGTTCTAAGTCCTCACTATTCTGCTTAGACTCCCCTATGCCTCTGATCTCTCAGAAGCTGTGCCTCTTGCCTTAATTTCACAGAGAAAGTTAAGGTTATCAACACAGGCAGATTTAATGTGAATCAAATCAGGCTTGAGTTTCAGAACCCCTCACTCAGGACCCCCTTCCAAGGTTCTGGGAGGGCCCTGGCAAAAGTAAGATGGTTTAATTGTAATTGGTTAAAACTTCTGTCTCTTTCCACTCTGATTTCCCCTCTCTCACACTTCTGATATTGGTATGCTTTTGCAGTAGTCACAGACATTCAGGGAATCTGAGTAAGGGAAAGCTGAGTTGAGAAGACAGCATTGTAACTGCCACTTGCAAAGACATTTTAGAATGCTTCAATAACTCAAGCAAGACATTACAGACTAAAAATTTGGATGTATATGAATTTTTTATAAAAATGGAATAAAAGCAATAAGGATGATCAATTTAAGCAATAGAAATTATTCTGGCATAAAGAAACAAATTGTAACAATTTTTTTCAGATTATATCACAAGAGAGAGACATTTTTAATAAAAGCCCTTGGATTGTTTCATAATCCATTCAGTGAAGAGGAGTTAATTATTTAAATACATTGGAGAAAGATTTAAGTTGCTCGCTGATTTGACAAAAACTTCTAATAAATATAACATAAAAATCATATTATACCACTTCAAGGACATGTTAGATAAACTGATTCATGAATTTTATCATTTCAAAGACAATTTAAGATTAGTCATTTTCCAAGAAAACGTGAAATGCCAAAAATCTTATGCTCATATATGAAAAAAATTTGATAAGGATTTTTTCAAATTTGACAATGCTTAATATGTCCATGGCATTACCAATAATGAGCTATGAAGCTGAAAGAATCTTTCTATGTTATCGATAATGAAAAACTCATGGCCATGCTGGCTGAAAGGCTGTATAATCTTTCCTTCTCTGCATATAAGGTATTATTATAAAATGGTTCTCAGATGAAGAGGTGCTCGTAGAGCAGGCAGCCAAAAATTGCAGGCAAAAAAGTATTATAGAGCTGTCACTCATTAAAAAGTTGTATTGTCTTCCTGTATTTTGTGATATTGATGGAATTCATCAACCTTTAAATTTTTATTTGTAATGATTTTTCTCATTCTATAAATAATTGCACACGTTTAAACCTAATTTTGCAGTTGTCATTTTTTTTTATTTAAGAAAGCCCTCCCGCACCCATCACCAATCACCTAAGATTTAGGCCCCACAAAACATGGATCTGCTCTTAACTGACAAGCTTGAGTTTTCTGTTTCTTGCCTTTCTCCTTACAGAGGCCCCTGCATCCACACCCAGCCTTGCTTCTGTTAAATATCCCTCGAGGCCCTGACCCCCGTGTACATGCGGTGCTCCGAGCAGCCTTAGACTGGGCCCATCAGCCGGCCCCTTAACCTTGACTTGGTTCATAGCTGTTGTCTCCCTGTCTTACCACTTCCAGGCTGCACATTCAGACTTCCCATCCTCACTGTTGGCCCTCTTGCTTTAGTGATCTATTTAGACTCTTTCTTTGCCCTTTGAAATCAGCATCTCTCTTAGCTCCCAGATCTGCATGCTGATTAAGGCATCCCCTGGCTTCTGGTCACTCAGGTGGACCTTAATTACCACACAGAATGATGCCACTCTTCTCCCTGGTGAAGACTAATCTTTCAGCCTCGGTTTTACGTCTGTCCTTTCTAGGACTTTGCACAAGAAATGATCACATATGTTGTGTGTGTTTTTAGCCTCTGTGACTGTCCTCGTACTGTCTGCTCAGCTGTGTACACACTCAGTTGTCTCCCATCCTAACAAACCATTCTACTCTGCATCTTCCTCTTTCTCTCCCTGCTACCTCAGTCAAGGTTCTTGATTGCTGGTACCACATAACTGGCTATTTTCTCATTTCTGCTTTACTGCTCGGTCCTTCCCTACCTCATGCCTCTCTCTGAGATCACAAAAGGCCCCCTTAATACCAGATACCATGGACTCTGTTCAGCCTATATTTGAGACCATAAATGCTGACCACTACCTTCTTCCATGAGGGAGATTAATATTAACCAAATAATTAACTTCCATGGCTTTATCATCCTCTTTTTGCTGATAACTCCTGAATCTGTGGCTGTATCTTGCTTGGTTATTAGGTAAATTATAGCCAGGACATCTGAAGTATTAAAAGTCATTGAGATGACAAAAAATATGTGATTAGTTTGAGCTGTGGCATTGATGAAACAAAAGCACCGGATCAGTCACCTTAACAGGTTTTGTTTCTTACGGGCCCAGGTTTGACCCTGCAGGAGGAGCAGGGTCAGGCAGGAGGGGCTACCTAAGATCTGAGATTCTCATGTAGACTCTGGGACAAACTCACTCTTGACCTAATTTTCTTCACTAAATATTTGCTGTTAAAATTAATTTTAAAATATTAATGGAATAAATGTGTATGAAAATAGCTATCTTTCTCTCTAGTTAAAATAATAACACAATCGAAATGAGTTGGAGTGACCACCTACCTCAGGCTTCCGGGATATGCCGTTTATATCTGTTGTCTCAGCGTAATATAAATAGAACCTCCTTTCTCTTTCAAAATTGTCTCCATTTAGACAGTAGATTTATGGTCTTTCTAAAACCATTTTTCAAAGAAAGCATTTTTTTCAAAGAAATATTTGTTATTTTTCTTGCTATTTTTAAAAATTCTGATTTTTTTTTTTTACTGCTTGACAGTGGAAGATTGGTGGAGTACAACTATTTCTGGACTAAGACTCTTTCATTACTTACTTTTACTAAAAGGGAGCTAACCAGTATTAAAAATGAAGTATATGATAATTTTCAAAACTGGACTTCACTGAAAGGAGAACTTTTTCTACAAATTAAATCCATAAGTGAAACAGCCTTGACAGGTTTGTAACATATATTTAGAACATAATTGTAATTTTTTTTGGTAAATGGTATACCATAAGTAATGAAATAATGATATTTTATCTTATGTGATAGGAATTATGATTAACTTTTAAACCTGTTATTGGTTGGTAGACTAGATGGCCATTAAGATCTAGTCTAACCCTGAAATTCAATAATTATAGGCTGATCTAATGTCAGTTCTGATATATCTATCTTGAGCTGTGGCCAGAAGTCTGCTTATTTCTGTTAAATGTACCCATTTGTATTTTTAAACTTTTTCCTCTGTTAATGGCTGAGTAACTCACTTTAGATCAGACTTCCTCCAAATAACAACTATAAATTCTGGACAAAATAACTATCTAACAACACTGGAGAGTGACCAAAACCAAGCACATAATGGAGGGACTGTCAAAAATTGAAACAAGGCATATTACTCATTGAAAAAAGCCAATCTGAAAAGGGTACATGCTGTCTGATTCCAACTCCATGACATTCTGGAAGAGATGAATCTATGGAAATTGTAAAGAGACAGTGGTTGCTAAGGTGGGTAGGAAGAATGAGCAGGTGGAGCATGGAGGATTTTGAGAGCAGTGAAACTATCTTGTCTGATACTATAATGGTGGATATGTGTCTTTAAACATTTGTCAAATCCATAGAATGTACAACACCAAGAGTGAATCCTGATGTAAACTATGGATTTGGGTGATAATGATGTGTCAATGTGGGTTCATTGATTATAACAAATGTACCACTCTGGTGCAAGATGTTGATGGTGGGGGAGGCCATGCATGTGTGGGGACAAGAGGTATATGTGACTTCTCTGTACTTTCTGCTTAATTTTGCTATGAGCCTAAAACTGATTTTAAAAAAAGTGAAAATTTTTTTAATTGAAAGAAGTGAATGGCCCTGGGTGAATTCCTTGATTTTTTTTTATTTAAGACTGTTAGATTGAGGTCAGGGTACAATCTGTTCCATGAAGGGAAGCTAAAACTCTGATAGAAATCTGTAGTCTTTTTGACTTGAAGACTAGAAGGCAGAGATCAAGGCAGCTCCCGCCTCTAAGAATTGAGAGGATATCCCAGAAAAGAGGATATCCCAGAGAGTCAGAAAAGGAGAGCTCAAACTTTGCATGTAAATTCTCCCCAATTCTCTGGCTTATCCCTGAAATACATGTGCACAGGGAAGACTCTCAGCAGCCCACCTGAGGCTACAGCGATTGATGTCACCTGCTGTCTACCCCAGAGGAGGCAGATTGTACAGTGGAGTTCAGCCAAGTTAACTGCTTGTTAAAACAAAACAATACCAAAAAGATCAATACTTTAGAGGAATATAACAGAATCCAGAATCTCCATAATGTAACATCCATGATGTTCAGGATCCAACCCCAAATTACTTAATCTGAGAAGAAACAGGAAAATGGCGCATGCTCAAAGACTAGACAGTCAATAGAGACTAACCCTGAGTTGATCCAGATTACATAATTACCTGACCAGAATTTCAAATCAGCTGTTAGCTCTGTTCAACGACATAAAGGAAAATAAGCTAATAATGAATGAAAAGATAGAAAATCCCAGCAAGAAACTATTAAAAATTGGAAATTCAAGAATTGAAAAATACAATATCTGTATTTAAAGCCAGTGAACTTTATGATAGATCAATAGAAATTATTCAAGTTGAAGAAGAGAGATAAATATCAAAAAAAATGAACAGAGCCTCAGGGTTCTTAGGAAGGATTAAAATGCACCATAAATGATAAATATGGGTAAATATGAAAGACTCTTTTTTCCTTTGAATTTTTAACAATTTCATGCTCATTTAAAGTAAGAATTTTAATATTGTGGATTTATAAAAGCATGTTGATTTAACATATGAAAACTAGAGCATAAAGGACAGAGGGAAGGGGTAAATAGATCCATATGGTTGCACTTTCTTTGTTTTCTATGTGATGTGGTGCAGTATGCATTCTGTGTTGACTAAAAAATTAAGGATATATAATTCCTAGAGAAACCACCAAATGATAAATACGGAAAGATATAACTAAAAAAACTAATAAACAAATTTAAAAGTAACTCTTTAAAAAGTATTCAGTCAATGGAGAATTAACATTACCTGACTCTAAGATTTAGTATAAAGTCCCAGTAATCAAATCAGTGTATGACTGGCATAGGGATCAACAATAGATCAATGGAACAAACGAGCCTGGTAAATGACCCCTATTTATATGATCGTTTTGCTTTCAATGTTCTTTTTTTTTTCTCCCCAAAGCCCTAGTACATAGTTGTATATCCTAGTTGTAGGTCATTCTAGTTCTTCTCCATGGAATGCTGCTGCAGCATGGCTTGATGTGTGGTGTGTAGGTCTGCGTCCAGGATCCTAACCAGCGAACCCCAGGCCACCAAAGCAAAGCATGTGAACTTAACCACTACACCACAGGGCCGGCCCCTGGTCATTTCACTTTTGACAAAGGCACCAAAACAATCCAATGGAAAAAAGAAAGTCTTTGAACAAATTGTGCTGGAACAACTGAATACCAAAATGGGAAAATATAGCTCAACTCCTGCATCACATCATACATAAAAATTAATTCAAGGTAAATCATAAAGCTAAATATTAAAACAAACTATAAAAGAAGAAACATAGGAAAATATCTTCATTAATTGGTAGTAAATGAGGATTTCTTGAATAGGACACAGAAGTAAGAACTACAAAAGCACAAAAATTGATAAATTAGACTTCATCAAAATTAAAAACTGCTCATCAAAAGATGCCACTAAAAAAAGTGAATAGGTTAGCCATAGACAGCAAAAATATTCAAAAAACATGTGACAAAGGTCTGCTGTCCAGGTTACATAAAGAACACCTACAAGTCAATAGTAAAAGGACAAACAGTCCAATCAAAATGGCCAAAAGATTGGAACAAACCCTTCATAAGGAAAGATATACAAATGGCCAGTAAGGACATGAAAACATGCTCAACATTATCAGTTATAAGGGAAATGCAAATGGATACCACAGTGAGACACCAGTACATGCCCACCAGATTGGTTAAAATGAAAAAGATCGACAACAGCAAATGTTGGTGAGGAAGGAGAGCCACTGAAACTCTCATACAAACTGGTGAGAGTATAAAATGCTATAGCTACTTTGAAAAAAGATCTGATGGTTTTTAATAAAACTAAAGGTACATCTATCTGATGGCTCTGAAATTCTTCTCTTTGGAATTTGTCCCCCCCAAAAAAGTGAAAACATATGTCCACAAAAATACTTGTATAAGAATATTCAGCAACTTTATTCAAAATAGCCTTCAGCTGGAAAAAGCCCAGAAGTACATCAATAGAATGGATTATCAAAAAAAGGAACCGAAGAAACAATGGAATATAGAAAGAACTGAAGATGATGCAGTAACTTGGATAAACACAAAAAATATGCTGCCTTGTTTATTATGAAACATAAAACTGTTTTATGTTATAAAGTATAAAATTGCTTATACTTTATTATGTATACGTGTATGAAAGTAGACTTATGCAAATAATACATACTGCATGATTCCATTTATATGATGTTCTAGAATAGGGAAAACTAACCTCTTGTGGGAAAAAATCAGTACTTACCTTGGAGGGAGGCTTCACTGGAAAAGGGGTGTGGAGCACTCTCTGTGGTGATGGTAGAGCTATTTTGACAGGAGTTTGGGTTACACAGTGGATGCATTTAGCAAAACATCTAATGATACATTTGAGATTTGTGTGTTCTTTTTTTATGGAAGATTGGCCCTGAGCTAGCATCTGTTGCCAATCTTAGAAGATTGGCCCTGAGCTAGCATCTGTTGCCAATCTTCTCTTTTTTTTCCCCTCCCCAAAGCCACAGTACATAGTTGCATATCCTAGTTGTGGGTCATTCTAATTGTTCTATGTGGTCTGCCTCCACAGCATGGCCTGATGAGCATTGTGTAGGTCTGCACCCAGGATCCAAATTGGTGAACCCCAGGCCACCAAAGCAGGGTGCACAAACTTAACCACTATGCCACCAGGCTGGCTCCTGTGTATAACAATATCCTTTTTAACTAATTTTAAGAATTAAATTTAGACAAATACAGATGAATAGTATAACATGAATTATATTAATTATTTTTACATAAGATTTTAAATTTTACACAGATGGTTTCATACTTGTAGGTATACTTTGAACTTGCTTTTTTTAGTCAGTGATGTTTTTGAGATTGATGTTAATAAAAATAAAATATTACATATATGTTAAGTGTCTTATTTCTTCCAGAAGCAGACACTGAATCAAAGATATGAGTGCAGATAGTTTATTTGGGAAGTGAAAGTAACCTGGATATAGGGAGGAAAGACAGCTAACAAAGCTTGCACTATTGCAGTGGGCAACTGGAGCTTCATATGGTGAGGAAACTCTGAGAAATGGTTTGAATTCCCCACTCTGAGAGTGAGGGAGCTGGGCATCAACTCCTGAGTCACTGGTTGAGGGCTGTTCCCAGGCAGTGTGGATTCCTTGGCGCTTCTAACCTGCCATTTGGTGGGCAGGCTGCTGTCTGCATTTCCTGGGAAAAGATTCTTCCAGCACAGAGATGCAGATTCTGGGAGCTGGAAGTCAGTAGAGGAATGCTGAAAGGTCAAAGGGATATAGACATGGCCCTGACAGTGTCTGCTACAGTTATAATATAGATTTGCTTTACAGAATTGTCTTTCATCATATAAATATACTCTATTTCATTCATTATTTTGATTATTTGAACATTCATGTATATCTTTTTATGGATATATGCTTTTATGTCTTTCTGATAAATACCTAGGAGTAGAATGGCTGGGTCACATGGTAGAGTATGTTTAACTTTTTAAGAAACTACTCAGTATTTTTCTAAAGTGCTTGTTCCTTTCAAATTCCTACCAGCAACATATGAGAGTTCTAGTTGCTCCACATCCTTGTCAACACTTTGTATTGTCAGTGTTTTTAATTTTAGCCATTTTAATGGGATGTGTAG